CAATAAAAGACGATAGAAACACTTTATTGTTAATAAAACTTTATGACAAAAGTTATTGAAACAATAAAAGACGATAGAAACACTTTATTGTTAATAAAACTTTATGACAAAAGTTATTGAAACAATAAAAGACGATAGAAACACTTTATTGTTAATAAAACTTTATGACAAAAGTTATTTAAACAATAAAAGAAGATAGAAACACTTTATTGTCAATAGAACTTTATGAAAAAAGTTATTTAAACAATAAAAGACGACAGAAACACTTATTGTTAATAAAACTTTATGACAAAAGTTATTTAAAGATTAGAAGATGAACCTGTAGGATACTGACTAAATATTTTCAGTCCTAGTCTTCACTTCTGTATTTTGAATACTCAGTATTCTGTTAAATTCTGATTAAAAATAACAGCATACGAGTTGTGTCTAATGCGAAGTGAAAACCTTCAAAAAAATAGTTTCGGATTTAACAGTTAACTCATCCACAACAAAATTACGTTAAAGGACGTCATTATTTTAAGTATTTGTAATTACTGAAAGAAACGGTTGATACAAGAAATATACTGTAGCAAGTTAGTTGCAGAATTCAGATCCTGTTAATTATTGAAAGGAGCGTGTTTTTCAATTTTTATTAGAATTACTAAGCCTAATGCTCCATTTTGAGATGAATGGAAATGTATTTTATTTCGTTTCTTCTGGATGTGTTAAAAACAACTAACATCTTCACACTATAGGAGTAAAACAGTAGAATTACATTTTACAATGTTATTAGTAACCGTTTCAAAACTACAGTTTCCTGGCTTTTATCCATATAATTAATCTGATCTCATTTCAGTACTCATGTGCATATAGAAAATGTATTAATAAAGCGAAAACAAAACAAAAAGTCTAATAATCTAGAAACCTTAAAAAACCACATATTTTATCCATAAAATTGAATTTGTGAGTGAATTGTATAAGAGTAAACAAAAGAACAATTCTCCCCAAAGTTAGTTTAATAATGTTCTACCCAAAAGTTAGTTTAATAATGTTCTACCCAAAAGTTAGTTTAAT